CTGATAAAGTTAAAAATTTAGAATCGTTGATGAACTTTTGAATTTTAATCTCTACTTCTTTGTATACATTATCTAAAATTTCTGTGCTAATCTATCTTTGTGATAGTAAGGCATATAAAGATTGTAGCATTTTGAATAATTTTATAACTTCTTCATTTTCTACGAAGGTAAATGAAACATTCACTGAAATAAGTGCTCTTAATAATTGTTGATGAATTAGTCAATTATTTTCTAATGGAAAAGTTTGATTATTATTTAATAGAGAGATTTGATCTGAATCAGAAATATTGCTTTCTTCATCCTAAGTAACACAGGTCGAAAGATAAAAAATCAGGCACAAATCAGGTACCCGATTTGTGTCTGATTTTTTATCTTTCGACCTGTGTAATATTAACTCGAGCATGTTTGTTTTGGATATTTTTTTATTAATTTTAATATTGTCTAAAGTGTCTTGTACTTCTTTTCTAACTTTTTTGCAAATATTTTTTAAATAATTAAGCATTCTTTCAGAAACTCCCAATATTGGATTATGGCAATAACTACATATTGCTTGAAAATGCTTCAAATTAACTAAGTTTCCTCATTCAAAATGATCCCAAATAGGACCTGGGTTTCTACTACATTTAGATTCTAATAGCATTTTAATTTGAAAAGTTTGAAATATACTTTTTTTGTTTTATATGAGCAAATATAATGATTAAATGTTTAACAAAGTGATTAAATGTTTAGCAAAGTAATGAAATATTTAGCAAAGCTATGAAATATTTAGCAAAGTGACAAAATATTTAGTGATATATATATAGCAATTAAATAAATATACAATCAGCTATACTTTTAATAAAATATTTTTCAGAAGTATACAATAAAAGTCTATATTACATTTATATTATTTTTTTTAAAAAAAAAACTAAATTGCACATTTATTAATTATTTCTTTACCCTTACTTATATTTCTAAGAAGAATAGCAGATAAAACCTATAAATTAATAGTAGTAGTAAACTGTGTCTTATGATGGTAAACCTCCTATGCATTCTTGCTTATATTGTATTTCTGGAAAGAATAGCAAATAAAACCCAGAAATTAATAGTAGTAGTGAACCACATTTAAACCTCCTATACATTCTTGCCTATACTTATTTCTGGGAAGAATAGCAAACAAAACCTGGAAATTAACAGTAGTAGCAACAAACCTCCTATAGCTCCTATATATAATAAACTTCCTATAACACCAACAGTAATAGCAAACCTTCTATAACTGCCAACAGTAATGAAAGTCTTCTATCACCAATGGTGATAACTGTAAGTTTTGCATATTGCAGTAATAGCAATATAATTGTTTAGATCAAATATTCTTATGCACATTTATTAATTATCCCTTGAATATACTAAATAAATACAAATGTTCATTAATGTAATCAATGATTTGGTTAAATCATCAATTGGATTATTTTCTACGATACTATTCTATGCATATTGGACAATTCATTATTAATTGCTTAGAAATTATTGTTAAATTATTAATTAATTTTTAATTTTTTATTGTTAACAATTCGTAATTAACAATTAGAAATTCCCATCACTACCCAAAAACCTCACAAAACCTAAAACTAAAACCTTATATCTAATATGTATAATAATATATAAAAAAAAATCATAAAAATGCACCCTAACCCTAAATTTTATTAAAGACAATTATATATGGTACTAAACACCATAGGTGCATTTTAAAATAATAATAACAATAATAACAATAATAACAATAATAACAATAATAACAATAATAACAATAATAACAATAATAATAATAACAATAATAATAATAATAATAATAATAATAATAATAATAATAATAATAATAATATAATCATTATTATACATACTTCTTTTAAGAATTTCTTGTTTTATATCTTTAGAACTATCAAGACTTTTTAAACAAACATCCGTTTGCGGCTTTCTTATCCATTCATTCTTCTCAGCATAAAATCCCTTAATATATCCGCTTTAAAAATAGTGCAAAGTCTCCTTTGGCAAGATACTTGACATTTGTAAATTTATCAAAAGGTATCCATTCGATGATGTCTTCAAATTAAGTTGAGCTTGTTTAATAAATTCATCAATATAAATATTGCCACTTGCCCAATTATGAAATTCCTTTTTAAACCTTAAATATTGACTAATAATGAATATACGTATTCATTCATTAAGAGCTACAATTTAATATTACCGTCTATCATAATTAACATATTTAATTAGTGATTATTGGAATAAAAATAATTTAGTTATAGAACATACTCTCTATTTGCGATGACACACATTGTGTGGATAAGGATATGTTAGTTTGTATTAATATTATGGACATGTATCGTAATTCGCTGTAAAAAATCCAATTACAGAACTTACATACTATTATGGTGACGCACAGTGCGGAAAAAATATAAGTTAGTTTGCGTAACTCATTGCAAAAAATTAAATTACAGAAATTACTCGCTATGCGATGGCACACGGTTTGTGGATAAGGATATGTTAGTTCGTATTACTAATATGCATTTGTATCGTAATTCACTGTAAAAAATTCAGTAATAGAACTTATTACAGAACTTACTAGCTATTGCGGTGATAAAACAGGAGGAACCGTCAATGTTACACGACTAACCTTTCATCCGGTGTGCAAATAAAAAAATTATTTTACAATACCAGATTATTTCTCTAGTACATGTTATGATTATACCCAACACCATTTTATAATAATAAAAATGGTGTTGGATTATAATTATAACATGTACTAGCGGAATTATCTTGTATTGTAAGTAAGTTAAAGATATAACAATGTTAATGCTCGACCACGCTTTTTGCACGGATTGTTCATAATATCGGTGAAAGTTGATTCAACTATGCAAAATTGTATAAATTAATTACAAATTATATATCAGAAGATTTGTGTCAAAGAAATAGCTTACTTTTTTCCAAATTAATTTGGCGTAACGTTTGATTAATTTTAATTCCACATGTTTCATCAAAGATTCCTTAGTTCTTGGATGTAAGTATGCAAAAATACAATCCCTTTCATATTTAATACATTCTTTAACATATTACAAATATTCGTATACATTCAGATACAAATATATACATCACTTTTCAGTTCATAATATTTAGATATAATAAATTCAAGAGATTTTTCTATTGGATCATAAATCGCTAACTTGGAGTGTTTCGCACAACGCTATACCATTTCTTACTCCCCTCTCTAGATAAAAATATAGTTAGAGTTATATAAGCATTATGAAAAATTTATAAAGATTTAATCACTTACTGCTGTTTTTCAATCGATTCTAATATTCTTCTTATTTATTTCTTGACTACACAACACTTGCTTTCGAAATTCACATAATCCCAACCTCCTAATTGACAGAAATGAAGGTTTAAATAACTCATAGATGATAAAATTTAATTGTTAAATGGTACTTACCAATAAATGAAAACAAGACAAAAATGGTCAAGAAAGGCATCTTTTTGCTCTGCTTTGCTGTATAAAACATTGTTAGATATCAAATAATACTGGCTTCATTTGATAATTATATAATAATATCTCATTAGAGTCTTTTTAATGCTGCCTGAATACTGGTTATAAAGATTTAAACGCGAATGGACTTCCACTTATTGCGTTTTTTTAAAGCTTTGAAATGCAAGTTGTAGTGAGGAAAATGATGCCTAAATAGGTAAATTGCTAAAAATGTTTCTAAACTCTTTTTCGAAGCTCATAATTGATATTCATGGTTCGTCGTCATGTTTAATTAAAATGTATTGTAAATACTCGTTATGTTCGTAAGGCGGCATCCATAATTTACGTTAAGCCAGTATTATTATGGAGATCTTAAAAGATAATACGAAAAAAACCATATAGCATTATCATCAAGATCCCTATTTCTATACAATACAGTACTGGTTTGACGTAAATTATGGATGCCGCCATATAGACAAAAACAAAAGTAGATTTTAATTACTGAGAAAAATAAAGAGCAATTACTTGTTGTTTTCTTGGAGAGCAAATTAAAGATTTTAAAATTAAAAATAATACTATCTATTTTCCCTTTACAGCGATTGCAGGAATTGGGAAAAATTGGCGGTAAAAATTATTGCTTATCGGCAAGAGAAAGGCCACATCACTATTCATTAAAAAGAAGAATTGGTAGGAATACTAAACATTAACCACCAACAACAACTAGAGAATTTGGAGAAACATAATTTAATAATTAATTTGTAGGTAAGTTGTTGCTCAAAAAAATGTAACTATAAAAAATATATTAATATTCATCAAATAATAGCTATTTTGACATGATAGTGGGTGGATTTACCAAATAGTAACTGGCAGCGAGTATGACTTAATAAAACTAACAAAATAATGAAAAAGTAAACCACATCAGGATTATTGCTCATCATGACAAAGTTCTATTTTTTAACAATATTTTGCTACTCATAAAAATCATTGTTTTGAAATGGAGGATAGTGATATTGCCCAAACAAAAAAAAGAGGTAGGGATGTTTTAATGTGGCGGAAATTTTTGTTTTTCAATCTATTCGCTAATTAGCACTACAAGTAAATTATGTGCTAACTTGCTTAAATCTATTATCATTTGAGTGTTTATTTCTTGTATAAAGCATTTCAATTTCTTTATCATTCAAAGAAAGATTAGATTGACCTTTAAATGCTTTATTATTTCATTCAAATGATTTCTCAATTCTTTAAGTTTGGGTCAGAACAATAAATAACCTTCACATATTTTTTTAAGAAACCCTTCGAATACAACTTTATTATTAAAATCAATATTTAGCCTTTTTCTATTATTAAATTTTTGATCTTGTCTATAAAATATCATATCTTCCATTAGGAAGCCAGCAATTATACTAATAATTAAGCCTATTAATAAACCTCATTATTTGTATAGTTTTATAGGTTATTTGTTTAGGTCTTTGGGAGGTATTTTCTGTTATGCCTGATATTGTTACTGTTGTTGTCCTGTTTCGTTTAATATTGTAAGTGTACGAGACATTTCATTACTTAATATCATAACACCTTCATCTCCTCCAAGACCAGGTTTAGATAATAGAAAATCAGGATTACATGCAAGAGCAATATGTGAAGTTATGCGAGAAGATTGGTCAGTTTCATTAGCACTGCCACCAAGACAAACTTTGATTCTGTTTTTTTTACAATAAAGTATTGCTTCAATAGTATTATTAATGCCACCAAGGTCTGGTACTTTTATTTGAATATAATCACAAACCCTCTCATCTGTAAATAATTTAATATCATCAAAAGTATTACACCATTCATCAGCAATTAACGATACTTTAAATCCTTTTTTATCTAACAATTCTTTTGTTTTTTTAAATCCCAAAATTTGTTCTTGTTGATTTTTTGCTATGATAGGTGATTCTATAAGAAGGTCATAAGGAAAAGTAGCTTTTTGAAGTTCACCTAAATAATCAGATATTAAATCAAAATCCATTTTAAATAATTCTCCCACTGTTCCATAAACATCTAAATGTATTTTTGGTTAGTATTCTTTTTCACCTATTTCTTTTATTCTATTAACAATTGTTCTTGCATAATTAATTAATTTTTCACCTTTTAATCCAATATGTTTATTTACGTCTGTAAATGAAGCATGTGGTAACAAATCTACTTTTTTAATAATCATTCTATCAATCTGCATAAAATCATCTCTATTGCAGGATGCTAATATTGGTATCGATTTATTTGCAAGATTAATTTTATATTCTGAAGAAATAACTTCTGCCATTGTACAATTTAATGATAATGAGACAGCATGTAATAATGCTTGAGTAACTCCATATCGTATTGCTGTATGTATTTTTTTATTTTTATCATAAATATTATCGAATTCATAAGCAAGATACCTAAAGTTATTTAATTGACATCCAACAAGTTTAGGTGAAATTTCTTTAATAACATAATCTATATGATGTTCTGCATTAAATATTTCATCTCTTCCTGCTGTACCTGTAAATATTACATCCACACAATCACCAAAAGCTATTTGTCCATCTTCAAGTTTTAATATAACAGATATAATAGTACCTGGTTCATCTATTTTTTTAAATCCAGGTAAAACAGGATTTCCTGTATATGTAAAACCATTCTGTTTAGCCCCATTTTTTATAGCTTGCAAATCACGATGTATATACCCTGAACGTCCAATAGCACACAATACTTTTTTTATTAATTTACTATTTTTAATCTATTTTGTATCCATATTTTATTTTAATTTAGTTTGGATTACAATTACAATCAGGTGACAAACTTAGAACGAAGTCCTATGCTTTTGAATATATCATGAAGAACATGTAAAGGAAGTGAGTTGAAGAATCTCATGATTATATTTCTGACGTTCTTTTTTTTATTTGCTTCCTTTTTTTTTCGGGCTGTGTACGTACCTAAATGTATAAGTCATAGCTATTTCCGTGTCTGCCCGCTATGCGATGAAATTAGTTTTTTCGGGCTGAGTACCTAAATGCGTGAGCCATTTCCGTTTCTTCCCGCTGCACGATAGAAATAGTAATTTCAAATTTATTATATTTATTTATTTTTAACACACTCCTATCATAATGCCATAGATCATTTCCAATGATGTTTAAGATTAGACATAGATCGTCTTAATTATTGGCTGTGCTTTTACTCATGACCCGCCGCATTTCCTTTTTGATTAAAACGGTTGGTCAAAAAATTTTATACTATCTCGTTATATGAGCTATATATCTGATATAACTGATATATCTAATATAGCCCCCAAAATTTTTTTATCGTATTCAGGTTGTATTTATAAGATTTTTAAGTTCAACGACTTTTGATTCCATAGATAGATGTATGCATTACTGTGCAAACTTTATTTTCGTGCTAAAAATATACGATTTTAAGTTAATAAATTCTTAGATCATTCCCAATTATAGTATGTCTCCATAACAAAATAAAGCGTTGCACTAATGAGCTTTGAGAAATAAAAGAAAGTAAATATACAGTCAAACCTCTCTATAGTCACCCTCTATATAAGCACATCATATAAAAATTCTCTTTATAAGCACATCTATTTTAAAACCAACTATTATAAATATATAGAAAAAATCCTCTATATAAGCACATACTCTCTATAAGCACATTTTCAAAAAAAGTCACTATGATTCCGGCAGTGCGATTTTAGAGAGGTTCGACTATATATATATATATATAGCAAAGAATTATGTTTATTTTATAAATTTAAAATATATATATTATAATTATATTAGCACAATAAGCATATTATATCCTTTATAATATAGAGACCAATAAGATCCAAGAAAATGCTAAACATATATGGGATAGTCAGGGCAGGCAATGGAGCCAATGGAGCTCGGTGGTTATGCGAATGGAGATCAAAAAACTAGTATCCATTGGCTCCATTCAGAGCTCCATTAGCTCCATTAGCTCCATTCACAGCTCCATTGAACTCCATTGCCAACCCTGGGGATAGTGATTTACAGCATATAATGCTATATTAAAAGTGCAGATCTCATACAGACTATATGTTTTTTTATAAATGGCTTCTGTACACTAATGAAGAGTTTCTTATGTAACTTTAGTGTAAAAATGTAAAGAGCATCTTTCACTCCACCATGTAGAATAGAATAATCTTCGCATTCCCGTTCTCCTATATTAATAAATAGATATATATGTATATAACTCTTTTAAGTATAGCCTAAATTCCCATATAATCCTTTCATCTAACTATTACATACACTGTGTGAGATACCAGGGCGCCACCAAAGTACGCGCACATGATAAGGCGTCATAGCTATTGCATAATTTCTCAGAAAATTGTTACTCCTGCATGCAGCTTTATTGTTGTGAAAATTTCTTAGCAAAGTAATATACTACTAGTGTAGGAACGGGTCGGACCAGATCGGTCACGGGTCGAGCCCGCATGGGCTATGGGACGACCCGGGCCGGCCCGTGAGCAATTGATCTACATGGCCTGCGGGCCAGAAATATTTGATTGGTCAAAAAAAATTTTTTTTATACTATAACGATCGCAAATTTATGGCCATAACTAAATATATTCGATTGGATTAGAGGTTTATACTGCAAGTATATAGCATTATAACTAGAGATGGGAAAATGCGCATTTTATAATAGCATGCGCATGAATGCGCATTAATGCGCACGTTATATAAAATGCGCATGATATCGCATGATATAATTTTTTTGATTTT